CCGCAAGCAAGATGGACGCTCTGCCGCAGGCACCCATAAAACCGTTCAGCCCGAATTCCAAAGAACATTACCAAGCCAGGCCAGTAATAGTCTCTACGGACAATAATGAGTTAGGATTAAGCTGAAAATACTTTGGTCCTCAGCAGAGCAGGACTTGCCAGCTCAAGTCTCTCCCGTGGGCCCATTAAACCTGTGACCTCCTCTCTGCTGTCTTTCATCTCTGCGCTCACAGGGCTGGGGGTAGACCTTGAGGTGCCAAAGCCCGGAACATTCCAACAGTTAGATGGAAACAGAAAACTTTCAGCGCTCCGCGGAAGTTTCCTCACACGTAAATGTCAAATTGTTTCACCCAAGACAAACCATTTCTCCTAGACCTCCTTGCTGGTGCTCTTTGTCTGTGGCCCCATGCTCCCTAGCCGAGTGTCTGCCTTCGAAGGTGGGATGGGGAAGCCTCCAAGGACACTCTTGTGTTAGACTTGTCTTCTAGTTCAGTGTGAGGAGCTCCTTGGTGGTGTTTGTTTGTTTGTTGTTGCCCACATCTACCAGGACACAAGAGTTCTTTTCATAACATGGGGATACCTGTAATTAGTCCATCCCATGAACCACTAGTTTGTTCCTGATAACTAGTTGTATCACTAGTTAGTTCATCCTGAGCTTCTGTCTGATGTCCTGCTGGAGTGAAATGGGGCTGAGGAGTCCTGCTGCCCACTGCGTAAGAAAAATGAGCTGGAGAATGTCTCTGTGACAGAACTCTTACCTGGCTTGTGGCTTGTGTGAGACTTTCTGTTCAGTCCTCTCTCTGCGTGTGTGTGTGTGTGTGTGTGTGTGTGTGTGTGTGTGTGTGTGTGTGTGTGAGAGAGAGAGAGAGAGAGAGAGAGAGAGAGAGAGAGAGTTTCTTTAATAAATGATGCAGGAAAACTGGAGATAGATACAAATAAATACAGACATAAGATACAGACGATATGGATCGATGCCTAAGAATAAACTTTGACCTTTGCCTCACATCACTTACAAAGACCAACTCCACACAGATCAAGCAAGACTCAGTCTGAAACTACAAAATGACTACAAGAAAGCATGGTAGAAAAAAACACAGTCCCTAGTCTAAGCCGCAATGCTTTAAATTTTGTTCAAAATATCAGGAAACAGAAGCAAAAATAGACAGTGGGGGTTACAAGAAACGCAAGTGCTTCTGTACGGTCAAGGCAACCACCAGAAGCCTGAGGTAACAAGCCACAGACTGGCAGAAGGTGTTTGCGTTCAGACTACAAAAGACCGAACTGTGTAGAAAGAAGACAGTGAATGTGTGTTTTTAGCTGGAAAGGGCTCTCAACAGACAAATGCCCCCAAATCAGCAGAGAAATGCAACTTAAACCACACTGGCACCTGTTAAAATGGCTAATGTCAAAAATAAGACAGATATCAACTTGAGGAAGGGGTGGGTAGGCAAATCCCTCATACTGCAGCTGGGAATCTAAATTAAGATGGCCATTACAGAAAACAGGCATATAGAAGTTGTGGGGAGGGACAAAAAAATAACTAAGACTAAAAATCGAATTACTGAATTTATCCACCGACTTAGACTCTGTCCTCTCCACCGAGAGGCTGGCTTTTAGAAAACTGCTAAAAGCAAATTTGACATCCCCATCCCAAAACTGTACCTGCAATAACACAAGGTGGGCACTTATGGTGGGAAAAAGGAATGTAGTTAAATACCAAGTGACATCTCCCCAGAAGATGCCTGAAAAAGAGCATCCCAAAGCTAGCAAAAAGTCAGGAGAGAGGAGCGGTAGAGTTGAGAGAAAGTGGCAGGGAGGGTTTAAGGAGGGAATGAACAATGGTATGAAGTCAGCCGCCATGCCACCCTCAAACGGCAAAAGAGGACGCTGGCTTAAAAAAAAAAAAAAAACCCACATAGACATGAAGGATTTGAAGGTGACCGTAGTCATAGAGTGATAGGCTGAGCATTCAGGTCAAATTTTAGTAAGAGGAGCCGAAAAGAAATGGAGAAGGCTGGGGTTACCCTGTTAAAATCTGTAGACGTAAAAGGAGGTGAGGTGGGGAGATGTTTAAGACGGTGCCGTGGACCGGCATGGAGTCCTCATCATAGAGGCTGGAGGACTTTCAGAGAGTCAACAATTGTCAACTCCAGTCCCACCTAATGCTAAAATGGTCTCTGTTGAAGCACCATCGCCCCTGCTGACCAATTCTTTAAGCAACCACTGAGGTGTGGCAGAACAGAAACCAAGGATTTCCAGAAGGTACAATGTCCACCCACACACCACGCCAGACACCTGAATAGATCCACTGAAAACTGGACCAGAACAAAGAAAAAAGCCTCCCTTTTGCTCCGGGTTTCACTCTCATGGGTCTTGATTCCAAAGCCCGTGCGGTTGTTGTTGTTTACATTGAGACAGGGTGGAAATCAGTAGACTCAGGCTGGTGGGAAGACTCAATGGGTAAATGTGCTTGCTGGCAAGGATAAGGACCTGAGTTTGACCCCCGGATCCCAAACAAAAATGGCAAGAGAGAGAGAGAACTGACTGCACAAAGTGGTCTCAGACCTTCACATGTGCACCAAGACACATGCACCCACACACCCACCTCTCTCTCTCTCTCTCTGTCTCTCTGTCTCTCTGTCTCTCTGTCTCTCTGTCTCTCTCTCTCTCTCTCTCTCTCTCTCTCTCTCTCTCATACACAGATGCGTACATGTAATAATAATAGTACAGTGAATTAACAAATATTTTAAACTATTACAAAAAAAAAAAAAAAAGAAAACACCAGCAGACTCTAGAATCTGGCCCCATACATATTCTGCAGGTCATGCTTAAAGAAATGAGCAGTCTCATAGCTCTTCTGACACAGAAGTCTGTCTTCCAAGGCCAGACTTTGCCACCCTCACCGGTAAGCATGCTCAAATCTGATGCTCTGACCCCAGTGTGGTCCAGCAGCCCTATGGACTATTGGAATGGGTCTAAGAGAATAATCATCAATTTACAAGGCTGATCTTAGGTCAGGCGGCCATGAGGAAAGTTGCTCTCGGGCAAACTAACTGGCTTCTAGACCATAAAGATTCCAAATTCTCCATTCTATTTGACTCCACATACCTGCTACGTGTCAGGGTCTCATCCTTCATCAAAGCTTTGGTTTTCACATGATAAAACAGTTGGTGTGATACGCTTATGCAGAAGTTCCACAAACCACAGAATTAAGAGTCTCGTGCTTTGTGGACTGAGCTAGCCCCAAGTCCCACCAAGCTGCACAATTAAATCTGAAGTCTGGGGGTTGAAGAGATGGCTAGGCAGTTAGGAGCACTTGCTGTTCTTCAAAGAGACCACAGTTCCCAGACCCTGCCACGGCAGTCACCATCACCTGTAACTCCAGCTCCAGAGATGACGCCCTCTTCTGGCTTCCTCAGGCACTGCACCCTTGTGCACTAACCCAGACACTCACAAATCCAGGTAATAAGTAAAAATAAAAATCGCCGGGCGGTGGTGATGCACGCCTTTAATCCCAGCACTCGGGAGGCAGAGGCAGGCAGATCTCTGTGAGTTCGAGGCCAGGCTGGTCTCCAAAGCGAGTTCCAGGAAAGGAGCAAAGCTACACAGAGAAACCCTGTCTCGAAAAAAAAAAAAATGGGTAAAATAAATAAAATAAAAATCTTTTTATTAAATCTGGAGTCTGATTTTTAACAATTGTGGTCCTCATGATCCTATGATCCCAACTCCTGCTGGGAGATCCCAGTCCTGAGTGTGCCAGGGTTTTCTGGGGGCTGCATTAAATTTAAACAGTGTCTTACCTCATAGTCTCTGTGGCCATCTTTTCTACCGAAACCATTGAGGTGACCAGATTCGGTTTGGACTCAAAGCATTTGCTTCTGTAATTCAATCTCAAGCCACCAAGGTCACAACTGAATTAATTATAATATCAATGAACTACCCACTTACCACTCTTCCATTGGCAGGAAGTTCAACACCATCTTCAAAACCAAGAGCAACACAATCCCAGCCTCCACCTCCACAGCTTTGTAGGTAAACACAGAGCCATAGTGGAAGTGACTAAAGGTCTGTGATACTAGGCTACCTCGAAGATTAGATCAGTTTTCTGTATCTCAAAGGCATATCTAGATCCTGGGGTCTTTGCAGATAATGTCCAGTGCCCTCATGGTACCTTTGTCAACAGTAACATCCAAAGCCACTGTGAGTGCCTTTGAGAGGGAGCATTCTTAGCAACAATGGATAACTTTGTATGGCCATCTGTTGAGTCACACTATACATTGAATTCCCCACACTCTATTGCAAGTCAACTCTATTATGAGTCACTTTCCCTGTTGGAATGTAAGTGAGCACTTCAGTTTCTATGTGAACACATGTTCATTACCTTTTGTTTCCATAAACCTCCACTGAGCACATGCTTTGTGCCTCAGGGGCTCTGTCCCTATCCATAGCAACCTCACAGTCTATGTAGAGAGACACTGATAAGGAGACATCTTTTTGAGGGAGTAAAAGGGTTCGAGACAGGGTTTCTCTGTGTAGCCCAGGCTGTCCTAGAACTTTCTCTGTAGACCAGGCTGGCCTTGAACTCAGAGATCTGCCTGCCTGCGCCTCCCAAGTGCTAGGACTAAAGATGTGTGCCACCACACCTGGCTGGAGGAGAGATCTTGAAAGTAGACTTAGACTAGTGTTAGGGGACTGTGAGCAAAGGGTGGGGCACCAAGAGAGCTGGAGATGCTGAGGATAGAGTCCTAGTGTGAGTTCTTCCTCTCCAGACGTGTCCTCAAGGCCTGTGACTCACAGGCTTCCCATGTGCTCTCAGGACCTGTTCCAGAAGCTCAAGCCCTACACCAGCCAAGGGGCTGACGTTTTGCTTGGATACACTTTCACATCTCTCTCTGGCTCAATGCACATCCCTCTGCCCCCACTACAGAAAACCCAATAAAACTCTTGATGAGATTTACACTGTACCCAGTGTTCTGGATGCCTGGATCTACCACCTACTACTTCCCAAGAAGCATGAGACTTCTGCTGCTGGCTCTTCCTGCCTTTGCTCTTCTACCCCAAGTGATCCCAGGTAACAGAACCCAGGGAAGCGACCAAAGTGAAGATCAATGGGCCCCGGGCGACCTGTGGGGTCCAGTGTATGGCTGCTCTCCCTAACACAGCCAGCACCACATTTTCCTCACTGACACTGTCTCTGACAAGGGTGGGATGAAGTTCGGTCAGGCAGTCCTCACGGCAGCCTACACAGCCAGCTCCCCCTAGAGCATGTTTCCATCGAAGGAGGAAGGTTAGACCTTCATCCACGTCCTTCTCTTTCTGGCCTGTGCAACTCTAGAAAACGCCTCCCAAAGTCCACAGCCCTATGGCATCTTGGCCTTTTAAAAGTCTTGCTATCACTTTTGAGAAGATCCTTTGTCTTCCCATGTTCTGGAAGAACATTTGGTGAACAAAATGTCTGCCGAGTTGTCACATGGATGACAGAGCTGGCTTCCTTCTTCCCTGTGCCCTGAAAGTCCAGAGCGTAGTCACTACTGCTTTTAAAAGATTACCCAAAGGCAAGGCTGGAACCCTGATCCTACTGCTCCAGAAAACCCACATCCTCTATTCTTGCACAGATCTCCCAAGGCACATTTCAGAACATAGTAAACTCATTAAAGTGACCCACATAAAAAACTAAATATACTATCCCCATGATTACACAATATTCTTGTTTCATTTAATATTTTGTGGCCACTTAGAGTTCTGCCTCATTCTTTACAAATTTAAAAAATTCTATTGTAATAAAAACTATGGTGGGGCATAGTGGTCTAGACCTTTACTGCCAGCACTTGGGAGGCAGAGGCAGAGGCAGGTGATCTCTGTGAGTTCCAGATCAGCCTGGTCTATAGCATAATTAGTTCCAGTATAACCAAAGCTACATATTGAAACCTACATCTAAAACAACAACAAAAAAATAAAACAACAAAACAAAACAAAAACAAAAACAAAACAAAACAAAAAACAAACAAACAAAAAACCCCAAACCAAAAAACTATGAATTTATACAAAGGCATTTAGAATATCCCTTAACCACCAATGAACAGGGGCGTATGAATATACTTACCTATATGGGCAAGGATTTACCTAGGATAGGTCCTGAAAGAGAAATGGTCGTGTTAAAGGTAAGTTGAATATTTTTTTTTCTTCACTTCACCAATTCCTCCTTTATACACCTGTCAGGACACCACCAGCAGGGGTCACTGGCTTTCAGAGCCTTGAGTGGCTCTCAGTTGAGTGGCAGACAGAATCAGGGATAATGCTTTGGGATCTTTAGGAGAACCAGCTGTGTCTGTTCTGCATTCTGATAGGGATAACGTGACTAGAAAAGAGAGGCGTGAAAGATTCTGAGAAAGCAGTTCATGGGCCCCAGAAACTCAGGGCACGCAGTAAGAGAAGGAACTTTGTGTGATACACCTTGGGGTGCCTCTGCCAGACTCTTGAAGGTGAGAGTCGGGACAAGGAAGGGGGTATAAAGTCTTCGTTGTCCTGGACACCCTCATACTGGTGACAGGAGGACCTTCATAGCCTTTCAAGGGCAGGGCACAAGGGTTTGCCCGTCACCACAATCCCTACCACACCTGGTGTCATTTCTACCCCTCTGGTGGATAAAAATGTCTCACGCTGTTATTTCAACCTGCATGTATTCTCCAGTGGTCAACACAAGCAAACGGCTTCCCCTCAGGACCTTCAGTTCCCCTTGTGACTTCAGCCTCTTACTCTCCACCTAACTGATTTTACAATCACCATAGTGACCTTGCTGGGTTTGGGGATACTTCAAGGTCAGCCTGCCTCTGGCCCTTTGTGTTTGCCTTTCCTCTGCCTGACACACTCCCCTCTAACTACACTCCCTCTCTCACGACCTCTCAATAAAGTCTCCCCACTTCCCTTCTAACCACATACATCCTACCCCCACAATCTCCTTGCCTTCTCTCCACAGTGTGTGTCTACCGCTAATTATTAGACACCAAGTATTTTTAACATTCTTCTCCTATTATCATATTAAGGTCCAAAAAATCCGAACTCCCCATGAGAAGGGCAAGTTTAATCTGTTTTGTTTTTTAACGGTTGCCATCTTTTGTGTCTTGGACAGTACCTGGTACACAGTCGGCACTCAGCAAACAGTTGTGCAGTGTTTCAATAGATGCAGAAAGTCAACCAAAGCAACTTCTTTCTCCCTCTGTTAGCAGGCTGCTTCTATCCCTTGCCTGGGGTAGCAGGCAGGCAGGCGTTTTTTTCCGTATTTGTGATTATTATACCCTAGTCAGCTCTAGCCACTGGACGTACTGTCTGCAGCCTGTCACCTCCCAGTACATTACAAGAGAGAAAAACACTTAATTCTGGTCTTTACAAGTTCAATCATGCCATGCCTCATGCACAGTGCCTGGTGTTTTGCTAAAGGCACCTCCTGATTCTTATACTCAAAAGGATCCTCTAACATTTTAATTTTTTTACCACACTTCGACCTTTAGCTACCAGATATGATGATCAATCTACCTTATTTTCCTTAAAGACTGAGGTAGCTCTCCCAGCACAGCATGTGGAACCGTTCACGATTTCTCCCTTCATCTGGGGACTCCCTACTGCATGCATCCGAGTGTGCTAGTCCATCTGCTTGGGCTAGTTACTCTTTTGACAATACAGTATGTGTCAAAATACCAGGGCTTTGCAGTGAGTTGGGGTCAAGATGGGCAAATTTTTGTTTTACTTTAAAGAAAAAATATAATTTTGGTCACCACTGGTCATTATTTTTTATTATAAATTTGAGGTGAAATGCTTGAGCCTCCCAAAATTCCCACTGGAATTTGAACAGAATTACACTAAATGTGTGAATACATTGGGGAATAATGAGTCCTTATAACAATTGTGTCATCCCATGGGAGAGAGATCACATCTTTATGGTTAGAGTTCTAACATACACAGAAGTTGTGTGCAGTCTTAATTTAAGAGAAAATGCCTCAGAGCCAGGGCTTGGTGGCACACACCTTTAATCCAGCACTCAAGAGGCAGAGGCAGGAGGATCTCTGTGAGTTTGAAGCCAGCCTGGTCTACACAATGAGTTCCAAGCCAGCTAAGGCTACATATTGAAACCATGTCCTCCACTACCACCACCATAAATAAATAAATAAATAAATAAATAAATAAATAAATATAAAGATAAAAAATGATTCCTTGTAGCTGTGAAGAGCATGTGCTACTACTGTTCATGCAGAGCAATACTGTTAATTCGTGTAAATAGTTTTGTCTGATTTTACTGTTATTAATTACAACTGTTTATTTGTTTTTTTTAAATAATCATGTGTAATGATTTTATCTCTACTTCCAATTCTTACACTTTTCCCCCCTTTCCTCTTAATAGGGACACGTTCCACTACTATTATTTGGACAATAGTGATAACAGAGTATGTTTTGTTTTCCTATTTTCAATAGAAATTAAAGTTTCTCCATCAGCTAATATTAGCTCTAGGATTTGATATACAAACTTCACTAAATGAAGCTGGTTGTGGTTTACTCCTTTAATCACAGCATTTGGAAGCAGAAGCAAATGGGATCTCTGTGAGTTCCAGCCTGGTCTACTTAGCAAGTTCTAGGCCAGCCAGAGCTACATAGTGAGACCCTGTCTCAAAAGAATAAAAATTTAAGAAAAATCTATCTTGTCATTCTGTATCCAGATAATTATGTGACCTTAATTCTACAAAAGTAGTTTCTTTAGTAGATTTTCTAACATTAACTCTATTTGCATCCAGGGTTGAATCCTATTTGATGGTGCTATATTAATTTATTGTTGATGTACATTTAAAAAAGTTTAAATCTATGCCTTCTTCTCTCCATCATTTGGCTCCTGACTATGATGCTCTGGATGTTGCCAACAAAATTGGGATCATCTAAACTGAGTCCAGCTGGCTAATTCTAAATATACTTTTTCACCATAAAAAAAAAGTTTAAATCTGTATTAATAAAGAAAATAGATCTACAACTTCCTCATTTTAGAACAAAGACATCACAAGCCTCGTAAAATAAACCACGTAGCTTTCTTTTTATTTGTGGTTTTGTTTTCTAGTTTCTGGAACATTTTACACAAAATAGAATCTAAGTTTTCTGTGAGGATTTTTTTTTTTTTTTCGAGACAGGGTTTCTCTGTGTAGCTTTGCGCCTTTCCTGGGACTCACTTGGTAGCCCAGGCTAGCCTCGAACTCACAGAGATCTGCCTGGCTCTGCCTCCCGAGTGCTGGGATTAAAGGCGTGCGCCACCACCGCCCGGCTCTGTGAGGATTTTTAATCCTAATTTTATTGCATTTGGCCAGAAATCAGAATTGGGGTGCTGAGTCCATGGAACTTTTCGATGTTTGTTTTCAATGTCTATGATAGGTGTGGTCTACGGATTAGAAATATTGACACCCTCTAGATTTTGTTAGAAAAAGAGCACACATGCTCTGCCCCACCTGCCGGGCCAGAACCCGCATTTCAGCAGCAATTCTGGGGGCTCCGCAGGAGCGCATTGGAGTTCTAGAGCCCCGGTCTGGGGCCCCAGCGAGCACAGTCTCCTCACAGAAAGCCCTGCACTAGTCTAAGCTTCCGGTGAATGTTAGGTTTGTCATTCAGGGTGTAGAGGCACAGCTATTCACTCCATTATTAGTCTCTAAAAACACAAATGTGTTTGAATGTGGTTTTTTTTTTTTTTTTTTTTTTTTTTTTGGTTTTTCGAGACAGGGTTTCTCTGTGTAGCTTTGCGCCTCTCCTGGAACTCACTTGGTAGCCCAGGCTGGCCTCGAACTCACAGAGATCCGCCTGGCTCTGCCTCCCGAGTGCTGGGATTAAAGGCGTGCGCCACCACCGCCCGGCTCTTGAATGTGGTTTTAAAGTAGAATGTGTTCGAAGAAATTAGGCTAATGCCAATAACACTGCAATTGCAATCATGAGGTGAATCTTTATATAATTGTTTATATGTATTTATTTACTTATTTTTATTGGCGGCGGCGCGGGGGCGGGGGGCACTTGTGTGTGTGTGCCACGGTGTATTCATGGAGGTCCGAGGAAAAAAAAGCTGTGGGAGTCGGCCAGGCCTCTCCCTCCACTGATAGGGCTGAGGGCCAAACTCAGGTCCATCAGGCTCAGAGGCAAGTGCTATGGCGTCACCTCAGCAGCCCCAGGTGAGTTTCTTGATATGGGTAGCTTGACACAGGTCTGGGGAGCTTTGTAGTGGCTGTCCCCAGTGCCTTATAAGTAAGTTTCCTTTCATTGATGAGTGATCGATCACACTCTGAGAAAAGCTAAACATGGGCAGAAATAGCTACTTTGAGAAGAAACATGACACCACGGGGCTGTGGTGAGGAGCCTAGCTGCCCTAGTCCTCCCGCGGCCCAGGGCTATTTGTGGAAGGCCAGATCTATGTACCCCCAAGCAGCGATAACTTAAAATCACTGGTCTCTCCTTTGATTATTTAGCCTACAGTGGTGAGAAAAAATGCTTGAACAGATGGGGGAACTGCAGGAAAAACTGCGAAGATGGAGAAACGATGCGGGACACATGTAAAAACCACCGAGTCTGCTGCGTTCCAGTCAGCAGGGGCAACAAGCCAAAGGCCTCGGTCAGGGTCAGCTGGACCACGGAGGAAACCACGACAATGGAGTACGATCTAAACTCAGAATTCACGAATGTACTTAGTTAGCACAGTGATTGATCCAGAATACATAGATGTGAGAGATGAGGGAAGAACAGCCCTGAGAGGTGGCTGGAGAGCTGTCTCTGGAGTCTGAGAGCTCATGACTTCTCAGATGTCACTTGCTCGTGTCCCAAGAGTGACAGACTATGTTGTATATATAAGGCACTGAAACACCCATGAGCCCCACTCACTCCCCATGATTGTATCATTCTAGATAAAGAACCACTGTGTAAAGCATCCAAATGTTTCCAGTGGTGAAGTCTTTGACGCTCCTGAAATGTCCAGGGATGGTTCTGGACGACTGATTTTCCCCCGTGTTTCTTATTTGCTGGTGATCTCTCTGCAAGCTGAAGCGCTTGAGGAAGAATTAATCTCCACCCTGGGGTTTCCTTCTGTCCTCTGTCTTCCTGACGAGAGTTTGTGGAATAGCTCTCGGGTGTTAGTTTCCCTTCAGATGAAAGCAACATCAACAACAAAATCAAAATCCTCAATCTTTGCATTTATGACATTAGTTGCTAGGATGTCAAAGATTGCTTCAGGGGCTGGAGAGATGAAACTCAAGTGCTCTTGATCCCTCCAGCCCCTAACTAAGGCCTTTCCCAAGACTATTTTCACTGAGAAGATCAGACCTACAGTCTTCCTGACTCCAGACATAAATCTGGAGCAGATGCTTTCTCCAGATCATCGGCTCTGTCGTATGAGGGGCCAAGGGGTAGCATGGAAGGGACTCGTGGGACTTTCCCTAAATATGGGTATGCCACACTAGGAGACACGGGGCCAGCAACCAGAGCAAAGTGTTGTGCCTATGTAGCTCGGTCAAATTGTGTTGGTTACAGATGTGGGTTGATGATTGTGTGTGTGCACACACACACAGAGGCCACTGGGATGTCATTGCAAAGCATAATGCCACCAGGGACAACTTGCTTTCAGAGGTGAGTTCACTCAAGAAACTTCCCACGGAGCAACGAGAAAGCTTGAGAACGTTCCAGGGTATTTACTTGTCATCGTGGCTGTGGAAGTTTTCAGCCATGAAACTTTTCTGAGGAAAGCAGAGAGGTTTTAATTCTCAGAAGAGAGAAGTAATCCTGGAGGGCTACAAGGGCCAGCTAACAGAAAATGAAACTCCCTGGGTAACAGAGGGAAACAACAACAACAACAACAACAACAACAACAACAAACCAGCTCTAAACTCAGGAGGAAAACAAAGGTAAAGGGACATCACAGAGAGTGAGCAAGCTAAGCATTCCAAGGAAGGCAGCAATGGCGGAAGGGCTACCTAGAGGCACACTTCTGAGACCTCCTAAGAGGCAGTCTAATAGAGGTTGGACCATAGCCAGCTCCCGAGAACAAGCTATATCAAAGCCGACTGTATGGCAGTGGGCACAGTCAGGGAAGTAGTGAAAGACACGGCCTTGGGTAGCTTCTCTCCTATTGACAGTAATTGGAATTAAAGAACGAGAAACAAGATATTAGTGGGAAGCAAGACATAAAGAGTAAATATTATGGCTAGTGAGGTGGCTTGGCGGGTAAAGGGACTTTCCCTGCAAGCCTGATGACCTGAGTTCAACTCCTGAAGCATAAAGGTGGAAGGAAATTATACAGAGCTGTCCTCCACTCTCTACACAAGCATGACAGGACAGTCTTTACATAGACACACATCATATACACACACAATAAGAATGAATTATTTAGAAATATAGTTTTTTTAAAGCCCTAATGTGACAATCCACAGAGGTCTATTATTAATTTATTAAGGGTGACAAAGGAGATGTAGACTCACTGATACAGAACAAGGAAGACATCACTGCTGGTCCTGCTGGTGGAGCACGGGGAAGGGATGGGGACCAACTGTACTTGACCCCAACTCCACACTTGACCCAGTCCTGGCCACCCAAGAGAGCACACGACCCCTCTCCCTCAGCTCTTAAGGAGTCTCGTAAGCAGCCAAAGCCACGCCCTAGGACTTGTACCCCAAAGCCATTGGCTAAACAGAACAAATTCCCACCACAAAGCTCTCTAGAATTTTAGGAATTAAGAGACCTTAACAGTCATGGCGAAGGGCATGTATTGTTCAAATTCCTTGTGCAGTAACCACCAAGCTGATCCCAGCCTCATAACTTGAAACCATGATCAGACAGCTTACTCCAAATCCAACAGCTCTTCCAGGCTTAGAAGCTCTTCCAGGCTTAACCAACTGTGTCTGCAAGACTACACACCTACCCCATCCCTCCTGTGAGTCCTACATGGCACAGACTGTCATGACTCATCCCAGATCTTTCCCTCCCAGCTCTCCACGGCACTCACCCACCTTCAGTGGCTGCTTGGGCTCCTCTCTGAAAGTCCTTCGGGTGCCTGGACCCTTCTCCCATGGGGTTGCATCCAAATGGGACAGACATCTCACCGCGCAAAGCCCAATCTCTCTCCAGTGAAGGAAGGACACACAAGCAATGTCAAGTGCATTAGTTTTAATAAGAAAGCGGACAGCAGGGAGGGCTTCCCTGGAAGATCGGGCATGGCGTTCACCAGCATTCACGGTATTTTGGGCCATTGTTTCTCATGAGACCAGGCGGTGTTGTCATCTGCACTGGTGAGGCTGATCCTCACGTAGGGCTGGAGGCAGCAGGTCTGGTAAGTTCTGCAGTAGAAGTAGGGTTGCTCATCCTTTCTGCAGGAAGACCTACAGAAGCCTCTGGTACCCATGCATTGAAGGACAGGATTTTTGCCTGGCCAAAAAAGGGGGAAAAAAGTGATGAAAATTAATTTCTGCTCACCAGTGACGTAGATCGAGGAGTCAGGAGCACAGAAAAGACCTCAGGGTGACAGCGAGCACCACAGTCAAGAGGGACAGAGTCAATTTCCTTCCCTCATTTGTCCTGCCACACGCAGCTGAAGGCTCTGGACGTTAGAGTGAGAAAGACGGCATGGTATCCGCACAAAAGCAGACAGGAGGATGGATGGCGCAGAGCAGAGGACCCAGAGGCAAACCCACACAGCTAGAGACACCTTGGCAAAGGGCTCACAAACATTCGCTGGGAGAAGGCTTTTTCAGTAACTGGTGCTGCTGGTTCTACATGGCACAGACTGTCATGACTCATTCCAAATCTTTCCCTCCCAGCTCTCCACGGCACTCACCCACCAGGCTGGTTCACGTAGGAACTGAAGCTACATATGTATCTCTCACTCTGCACAAAAGTCCTTTCCAAACAGATCAGGGGCCTTGGTTGGCAACTAGAAGCACTGAAAGCGCTAGGAGAAAACACTTGAGGATATAGGCACAGGAATTTCCTCAGTAGGATGCGAACCGCACAGAAAGTAGCCCCAAGAATTAACAAATGGGGTTAAACTAAATGAAAAGGCTCCTGCATAGCAAAATAAACTATCAGCAGAGCGGACAACAGAACAAGAGAGCAATCCCTGTCAGCCAAACCTCAAGCCAAGGGTTACTATCTAGAAAATATGAAGAGTGGCCAGAACTGACTCCATGGGCTGGAGAGATGGCTCAGTAGCCACGAGCACTGGTTACTCTTCCAGAAGACCCAGGCTTGATTTCCAGCACCCACATGAGGGTTCACAGTCGTCTGTAACTCCAGTTCCAGGGGATCCAACACCCTCTTCTGGCCTCCACAAGCACTAGGCATGCATGCGGTGCAGACAAACACGCAGGCAAAATACTCATAAACATAAAATAAAATAAATAAATCTTTATTTAAAACTGCAGACACCAAAAAGCAAAACTGCCGATCAGTAAATAGGCCAATGAGCTTTTGATAACTGACAAACGGCCAGTAAGTCTTTTTGTTTGTTTGTTTGTTCGGTTTGTTTTGTTTTGTTTTGTTTTTGAGACAGGGTTTCTCTGGGTAGCTTTGTGCCTTTCCTGGATCTCACTCTGTAGACCAGGCTGGCCTCAAACTCACAGAGATCTGCTTAGCTCTGCCTCCCGAGTGCTGGGATTAAAGGCGTGTGCCACCACCGCCCGGCTGCCAGTAAGTTTTTGTGAAAGTATTCAATATCCATAGCCACCACGGAAATGTGAGAAAGGGGAACCCTTGTCCACTGCTGGTAACAATTAACTGGTGCAGCCCCTGTGAAAATCAGCCTGGAGGTTTCTTGAACAGCTAAAAATAGAGCTATCATGTGACTCAGGTCACCTGGCACATACCCAAAGGATCATGCAGCACTTGCAGGGCCACCAGGCCACTCAGTGCCACTGGAGGACATACAGAAGAGAGAATGCCCCTCCCAGCTAGGGTGGCATCAAAGGACACAAACTTGGGAGCTGGAACCTCCAAGCACACTGTAGCAAGGAGAAGCCACTCCCCCCTCCTGCCTCCACGTCAGGGCAGAGCCCAGAATCTTATACTGCACAAAATGCCCAGGCCTTGTTCAAAAATCACTCATCAGAACCAGGATAGTCACAAGCCAAACTAAAAAAAGACAATCAACCAAACCTGTGTTCAGAGCACCAATGGTTCATGCCTGCTCCTTCTGAACACAGGCATGAACATAGCATAGTCTCTTTAACCATTCCTATATTTAGGAGCATTTTTGTTGTCCCCAGCTGTGTGGAGGGGTGTGTGTGTGTGTGTGTGTGTGTGTGTGTGTGTGTGTGTGTGTGTGTGTGTATTTGTGTATGTGAGGGTGCACATGCATGTTTGTACAGGTGGAGGCCAGACATCAACCTTGGGTGTTGTCTTCAGACACTGTCTACCTAGTTTTTTGAGACAGGGTCTCTTAGTGGAACCTGACCTGGGGGATTTGGGCTGGAATGCTTAGCTAGAACCCCAGGGATCCTCCTGTCTCTGCCCTCCCAACACTGAGATAACAGACTTGCGAGCATGCTCAGCTTTATGTGGGTTCTGGGGATCTGAACTTGAGACCTTGAGCTCGTACAGCAAGTACTTTATCCACTGAACCGCCTCTCTGCCCACAGATTGGAGTCATTAAAACACTCCGCTTAAAACCATGAGCTCAGGGGCTGGAGGGATGGCTCAGTGGTTATGTGTACATGCTGTTCTTGCAGAGGACCAGGGTTCAGTTTCCAGCACTCACATGGTGGCTCATACCCATCCATAACTCCAATTCTAGGGGATCCAAATCCATTTTCTGAACTCGGTAGGCACCAGGCATGCACATGGTATACACACACACACACCCCCCACAACACACACAGGCAAAACACTCAGATACAAAAAATAAAAATTTTAAAAATGGGCTCCAGAGTCAAAGACTCTGTCTCAAAAAGTAATGTGGAGGAGCTAGAGAGATGGCTCAGTGGTTTAGAGCACTTATTGCTCTTGCAGGGGACCCAGGTTCAATCCCTAGGGCCACATGCTGGCTCACAACCATCTATAACTCTACTTCCAGGGGAGCTGATGCTGTCTTCTGACTTCTGAGGATACCTGGCATGCATGTGGTACACAGATTCATAAAATAAAATTTACAAATTTACAAATAATTTAACAAAAAAATGTGGAGACTTGATAGAGGAAGACACCTGACATGTCAATCTCTGGGCAAGCTCACACACATACATTCACCATGTGCACATGAATGCACACTCACACACATGCACAATATGCATTCATCATGTGCACACACACACACACAAACACACACTCACACACATGCACACATATGCATTCACCATATACACACACAAATGCACACTCACACAAATGCATCCATATGCATTCACCATATACACACACACACACACACACACACACACACACACACACACACACACACAAGGAATGGCAGTTTGTAAAATTAATCAGATCTTAGTTTGGAGAAAAGCAATTATTAGCCTACAAAGATCAGATCAAAATTTTGGGAAAAATACAAATAAAGTCTCTTACACCGTATGTCTGGATACTTAAAAGTGATTAATCAAGCCAGCAAGAGAAATACATAAGTAAAATATATTTTATGTTCTTTTGTGAAACAGCCCTCTGGGATGACCTAGTTAGGATTCATAATTCTTGGACTCCTCAGAGTTCCTGTAGAAACACGGCAGCCTTAGGGCAGCTGCCCACCCTCAACCCAGCACTCCCCCTTCACATCTTCAGATCTGCATTCACAAGGAGTCGCTTGCTCGTTAGAACACGTGGTCCAAGCCTGGCCACGGCCCCTGAAAACAGAACGTGACTGACAGCTCTCCCCCTTCCTAGTGGTGCATCCCAGAAGGTTCTGTGGGTGAACCTAGGGAACAGCCCACGTAGCTTCAGGAGGTAGCCTCAAGGATTCCTTGGACAGACAGCACCAGGCCCCACTGATCAAAGCACAAGCCTGGAGGCAGGGTGGGCATCACTGGTCCCATATCTCCTCACCCAGTTGGGAGGAGCTTAGAGGGAGCCCAGAGGAAAGGCAGGGTCAGGAGTGGGGGAGGGGTCTCTTTTCCTACTCTCTTCCTGTATCATAGTGAACTCCCATCTATCTCAATGGCATGTGTCACGCTTCGTAAAGCACCCCTAGGTCCTTGACCTCACCAACAGCATAACTCAGGGGAGAACAACTATGCTGTATAAATGAGGCCCCAAGACATCCATCCCGCAGATTCCCCATCAGGATCCTTAAATTCTCCATTTCTATTCTCCCCCATGTTAAATTATCCATCCAAATGATGTAGACTTCTGTCCCTTGCCACCCCCTGACAGTGCTTACTCTTCAAAGGCCTGTGGAAACTGACAAGATGGCCATGGATGGCATTTACTGAGCCCTTGGACCCTGTGCTCTGTGCCCATTTAACTCTTTTTTTATAATTCGTTTATTTTTATTTTATGAGCATTGGTGTTTTGCCTGTATGTATGTCTGTGTGTGAGAGTGTTGGGTCCCCAGAACTAGAGTTAACAAACAGTTATGAGCTGCCATGTGGGTGCTGGGAATTGAACCAGGGTCCTCTGGAAGAGCAGCCAGTGCTCTTAACCTCTGAGCCTTCTCTCCAGCCTCACCCATTCAATTCTTATTGTAACCCTGAGTTACATAATGTTGTTGTTCGGCTTTCCCCAAAACAAGATGCTGGAGCTCTGACAGGGTTATAAACAGGATCCCTTAGTGGTAAGAGGCAGAGCCGGGACGAACAAACAAATCCGTGAGAGAACACTAAAAATGGAGCATGAACAAGTTCATCTGTCTGAATAAACCAGTGCTTTTCATATTTGGAAACCTTCCGGTTGCTGGGGCTATGAGCTCTGGAGCATTACAAGGTATTTCAGCTGAAATCCAAAGATCTAGCTTCCACTCAGGCCCTGTCCACCCTTGACCAAGATGAACCAACACTCTAGGCATCCAGGGTTCCTTTAAGTCTATGGTTCTGCCCACCCCATGCTCCCCTCTATTTATGTATGTCTCAACAGCCACTCCTGGGGCTGGCAGGGGACACCATCCCCAACACTGTGCTCCTCACTCCATTACCAAGGTCTAGCCCTGATGGCTCCTCTCTACTGCCTCTGAACCCCATCCTTCCGTCTCCCCACCCCAACCCATTGTGACTGGCAGACACAGAAAACAATTCTGTGAGTTTTAATATGGTGTAGAGACTAAGGGACAAGAAGCAACGTCCTTTCTATCAGTAGTAGGAACTTTTCTTCTTTGTATGGATTTCTGTGGTCTGGTCAAGGATCCCATCATTGGCCACAGTAGGGAGTGTTAAGGAACGTTCAGGAACACAGCGGTGTTTGTGATTTTGGAGCATATGACACTTTCTTCATCATCCTTGCACATCACCCGCAGTGTCCGTCCTTCCAACACACATCTTTGGGGCATAGGAACAATTGTTAGGAGTGTGTTAGTATTGCCCAAGTGACAGACAAGAGCCAGCGGAGGGCGCAGAGGTGACTGCTCTTGGAAAGCTTTCAGGAAAGTTCTTTTATATTTTTGAGACAGAACCTCAGCTCCTGGCCTGAAACTCTCTCTGTAGACCAGGCTGGCCTCAAACTCGCAGAGATGCCCCACGCCTCTGCCTCCAGTGCTGGGATTAGAGGTGTGCGCCACCGCATCCAGCCAAGGAAAATTTTTTTCCAAGTTTCTCTCCATCTATCATCCTGCACGCCCCCCTCCCCCCCCCACACACACCTTCCTAGTCCTTCCTCCAGAATCTGTGTGTGAAGGAGGGTTCCACCTGTGGAGCCTGGGAATGATGGGAAAGGAACAATGTCCATCTTTGCATTAGTGGACTGAGGAGACTCAGTCACATTACAACAGAGCCAGCTCCCTAACAGTTGGTGACAGAAGCCAGCAAGCCCCAGCTCCAGCCACAGCCCACTGTCCAGTCCCCCGACCTCATACTCATCTGTTAAAACTCAAGACCCAGATCAATGCTCCTGGAGGCCTCATTCCAAGCCAAACCCAAATCCAATCAAGTCATCAGCCCAGCTGCCCGCTACCATACTGAATCCAAGAACCCTGCATACCAGGCACTTACCCCCACCCTCAGCCCAAGTCCAGATTAATGCCAGCAGCAGCTGTATTTAAGCCAAATCCACCCCCCCCCCCCATCTTGTACCAGGCCACCAGGAAATGCAGGTCCTCACCTCCAGTTCATGTTGACACTCTCTATCACCCTAGCCCCTGGGTGCTCCCACATCAGGAATCACCCCTAACCATGTCCCCAACCTGAACCCAATCCTTCACCCCTCATCCATCTCCTAAGTTCCCACTAGAATTCCACTCTTGCCCCCAAAGTATCAGACCCCCAAAAACATCCTTCATGCAGCCACTTAGCAAAACAGATTTTGAGAGGAGAGAGAGAGAGAGAGAGAGAGAGAGAGAGAGAGAGAGAGAGAGAGAGAGAGAGCAGCATGCATGACAGCATCTTGGGGTACCCTTCGAAGCTGTTTGAAATGGGAAACGACTTGGGTGTTGCCCCTGTGAGAGTGAAGGAAAGAAAGCCAGAGACGGCCCCCGGAATCCTGAAAGAACCCGAGTTACCTGACCTCGCCAGGTCCGTCACCAGAGATATGGCGAGAAGCAGGAGAAACAGCTTCATGGTGGCAGTACCCAGCGGAAGGTGGCAGCTGAGCTGCAGGATCGGAGCAGCGTGCCCTGAGGTGGGGATGATAAAAAAAAAAAAAAGCCCTCCTTTTATCAGCAGGGCTGCGGGTAGTGACTGAGAACAGGAGGCATTTGTACAAGGTCAGCCAGACTGAAGGACAGTGTGCAGCAGATGTCTCGGCACAAAATGAGAGTGTGCGGAAGCTGCTGGCACCTACTCCAGGCATGACTTCCCTCCTAGGAAGGACGAGAGTGAAGTAGATTTGTCTGGACCTTTGAGGCCCATGATTAGTTCATTAATTAGCACATGAACACGTGAAGAAATATTCAAGTTTTTCAGTTATTCAGTCTTAGGTCTCTTCTCTCTCTCTCTCTCTTTTTTTTTTTCACACACAGATGTATGTCTCGTGAAATCTTTAGCCTTCCCGTACGTTCCACATCAAGGCCTCAGCCTGCATCTCCCTCTGCAGGCCTCCGAGCTTCCTCAGATGGCTGCTGCCTCTGGCTGTCATTGCGGGCGACTCTCGCGGGTGCTCTGAAGCACAGTAAGCTCTCCTGTGGCCTTCATCGGTTCCTGTGGGATTTTCATATCTACTGTACATGTGTCATCTTCTTTTCTCTCACTGAGGTGCCAGGGACTCGGCTCGAGCTGTGCCCTTCAGAAGATGGTGGACTAGAAATTCCTCAGTGTGGGGAGATGGCAGAGCCTTTAGCAGGTATGGCCACCTAGAGGTGGGCAGACGGCTCAGTGGGTAGAGTATTTGTTGTGTAAACATGAAGACTTGAATTCAGATCTCCAACACTCATTTTAAAAAAAAGCCAGGCTCAGTAGCAAACATCTGTAATCCTAGACTGGGGAGGCCAAGACGCAGTGACTGCAGGGCTCGCTGGCCAGCCCGTCTAGGCAAATCAGTGCACTCCAGATGCATTAAGAGACTCAAAAAATAAGGTGGAGAGCAATTGGGAAAGACATCTGACACTAACCTCTTACACACACACACACACACACACACACACACACACACACACACACACACACACGGCAGGACTTAGTGCAAGGTAATTAGGATTTCACAGCTAGAAGATGTGAGGGATCTGCTTAGATCCCAAGAAAGTGGATTGTAATAACAAGAATGAGATTGAGCTCTGGTCATCTCTGGATTCCTGCTTTGCCATGTGATCTTCACTACTGGGATGCCACCCACCACGAGGCCCTACGTGAGGTGGTTCAGGTGAGCCTGCCTAATCAAGGAATTTCTGCGAATTTGTTTTCTAGCCTTTGATATTTTGTACTAGCGACAGAAACCAGACTATTAAGGTTTTTAACCCTAGCACAGGACTTCACCTGCCATATATTCCCAAACACCTTGACTTTGTTTTTTGTCCATTTCTGTGTACAGTTAAGTGCAGCAGTTTCGCAGTCAGGGAGCTTGGGTCCCTCTACATCTTCTCAGACAGTTTCATCTGCTGATTCAGGAGCAGTTCCGGTTCCTACCATTGTGGAGTGTGGGTGGGAGTGGGATGAAGCGTGATGCTATTTCTTTGAAGGAAACCTTCAGAAGTGGCACACACTGTTTTCAGTCCACTGGCCGGAACCCATTGCCACCAAAGCCAGCTCCGGGATATGCTGGGAATATTTTCCTTTATTCTGGGCAATAAAGGCTTGCTCAAAGTCAAGGTCTGACTCATTAAAGGAACCGACACTGAGGAGAACTAGAGATTTTAGAACCTAGCTTTATATACAGAATAATATTTAATAAACATTTGCAGGCTTAATAAATAATAACGAGGGGGCTGGAGAGATGGCTCAGAGGTTAAGAACACTGGCTGTTCTTCCAGAGGTCCTGAGTTCAATTCCCAGCACCCATATGGTGGCTTACAACCATCTGTAATGAGATCTGGCTCCCTCTTCTGGCCTGCAGGGATACATGCAGACAGAACACTGTATACATAATAAATAAATAAATCTTTAAAATAAATAAATAAATAAATAATGATTACTCCACTGAGTAAATGATTATAGAAAATCAATAGCTTGCACTGGGTGATGCCAGGAGAGTGGTCACGTGGGAAGGCAGTCAGCGCCCTTCCAAGGGCTAAGCAGTTCACCAGATTTGGAGATAGGGAGGTCTGCCTCCTGGTTTGCTGTGTTCTTTTTAATTTTAAAATTATGTTGTGTGTGTGTGTGCTCAAATGGTACCTATAGCCCGTGTGTTACATATGTACTGGATGTGGGTGTGTGCAATCATGCTGCCAGTGTGGTCCGTGGCTGAGCAGGTGTTTGCAAACACCCCTCTGTTCTCAGGCCTTCAAACACTCTCAGTCCCCCCTACACCCTGTGACCCTAGAACGTGACAGTGGCTTGGGAATTCTCCTACTGAGCTGGAGATGTGGGACAAAGCTAGGGGGAGTGGCTGACGGAGATGTAGGGAGCTGGGGCTGCCATTGGAGGCAGGACCTGGGGTGATGAGGGAGGAGGGGAGCTTTGGCCAGACGGCCAACTTGATAGCGGTTGCTGTGTGCTGTCTGTGGGAGACAGGACGAGGACAAACTGTAGTGTCCAGCTTTAAAAGTCTCCCACACAGGAACAGCCTGGCCTGGCCAGCTCTGCAGGCCTCCCACCCTCCACCCTTCCAATCTGGGCAACTATGGATCCCACGTGGAGGAGAAGAGGGAACACTGGTTATCAAGGTCCCACAAACGGGCCTGCATAGGGCCTCAACCTGATCTCCCAGGCTCCTCTCACTAAAGCTCGTCAGCCAACAACAAGGTCAAAGAGATGGGAACCCCACACACCACCCAAGTCTTTGACGAAGACCCTCCCCCTCTGCGCATTCACACTCCATCTGACCGAGGGCCTGTGGGGCCTGTGGCCCCGGGGGAGGCAACATGAATGGCCAAGGTTTCAGAAAGCATGGCAAGAGTATCACGGAGAGGCCAGGAGCCGAGCCAACCCTCCACATCATCTCCATAAGAGACGCAGATGCCAGAGTGAAGTATTTCATCTACAGATTTGTGTGTGTGTGTGGTGTTGAGGGTTGAAGCCAGGGGCTGGTACATGCTACACACGTGTTCTACCAACCAAGCTACATTTCTAGTCCTTTTTTCTGTAAGTCTTCAAAATAGTAAGAGTAACGCATCACCCTCAGATCTCGGGAAATGCTGTATGATTTTATTTCCTTTAACCTGGTGACATGTTCATTGTCCATTATTATTGGATTCACACCATTCTGTTCTCAATTTGATCCTTCCAGGACCTCCTGTGTTTAGGAATGAGGGTCCCAGTCCTTAGCCATGACCTTGTGTATGGAGTCAAGAATGCCTTGGGTGAATGTGTAAAGATGGAATGAAGTCCTGAGTAAATACACATTCACTGTTTGACATGGGCATGGCCACATTAAGGACCAAGACCTCGGACCCGCAGAAACTTAGAGAGGCAAAGCCTTTCTCTGGTCCAAGCGGAAGTGTTTACAAAATTGACCAGTGTGTGCAAAGAGAGGCAGCTGCAGCTTCCTCCTCCTGGAAGTTTACATTCTGAGACTGCTCACCTACAGAGACCTCCCAGCAAGACTAGCCAACCCTTCCCCCTGGGCTAAATGTAATAAACGTGTGGAGATTCCAGGTTGGTGAGGTAGCCGATGCCACTCCATCCAAGTGCACAAGGCCCGCCTGCCCCCAGTGTTTCTGTACGTGTCTGTGTATCTGTCCTTTCTCCACTCCCTTGCTGCCACTAGTCGGTTTCCAAAACCAAGCCTGTCCCAACATCCCATGCAGCAACTTTGGTGTTTTTCTCTTTGCTTCTCAGGATCAGGGTGTGGCTAAGGCCCTCTGGCTGCTCTCTGGGTGGTTCTAAGGGGCTGCAGAATTGCTGTTCCCTGGGAAGTCTCACCAAAGCACAGGCTGCTCCCTCTTGCCACAGCACTGCTGTCCACATGCCAAACCCATCTCCTCTCTCATCCCAGTGAGGCCCAGCCTCCATGTATTAACCGGGGTGCTCCAGAAACCAAAAAGAAAGACAAATGTGCAAGACTGTCTTTTAGATGTGGATTTATTCTACTGGGTAACAAAATACGGTGGAAAGAATCCAACAGCACTTGTCCTGCTGCAGAGAGGAGAAGCCAGTGGTTGCTTGGTCCACGAGGTTGGGTGACCGCTGGTACCAAAGGCCTAGTGGGTTCCTGGAGAGTCACTGGTCCTCAGTCCATGCTGGAGGCCTGAAGAAGCTGGTTTCAATGTCAGCAAAGGAATCGGTAACAGCGATGGGTAAATTAACTTGGTGGAGAGAGGAAAGGCCCACAAAGCAAACAGCAAATAACCGTCCTTCTCCCTTCCTTATGTCAGTCTGGGTTGTTACCAGACCATGCCATCCACATCAATCAAGAACATCCCCCACGGATGCATCCACAGCCCACAGGCCAACCTGAAGCAGGCAATTCCTCTTTGAGGATCCTAAGCAGGTGGACATGCCTGAGAGGACAGCCACCTGAAATGACTTCCTTGTGCCTAGATCTCCCTAATGAAGACAGTAGGCAGGCAAGGCAAGGAGCAGTCTTCTTGGCTGCTCCCAGAACATGTGCGCGCGCACACACACACACACACACACACACACACACACACACACACACACACATTCAGTTTCCCAATTAAAAAAGGAAGACCACTCGGCACACAAGGTCTGACTTCTTCAGACAGAGCAGAAGAGTATTATGTTTTCACAGATGCCCATGCAAATGAAATAGAGAAAAATTACAGGTAAGTACTACATTAAAGTCTTGTGAAGATCTACTTATGCTTATTTTATATGTGTAAGTGTTTTGCCTATATGTATATAAAGGCACTGTGTGCTTGCCTGACACCAGAAGAGGATGTCTGATCCCCTGGAACTGGAGTTAACAGAGGGTTGTGAGCTGCTATGTGAGTGCTGGGATTGGAATCCAGGATGTCTGCAAGAGCAGCAAGTGCCCCTAATACCTAAGCATCTTCAACCCCATGTTA